TAAAGCATATAATACCATTGAACCTATTTGTAAATTTTAAAAATTTAAGGTATCAAAATGTAAGAGGAAAACATTTTAGGTAATTAAATGTATTTTTTATCAATATTTTAGGATTTTTATGAAAAAATTAATTTTAGGCACTAAATAACAAGATCTATTAAATTCAGGGTAAAAAACAATAATTTTGTACGTAGAAGCCAATGAAAGCAATATAGAAGAAGAGGGAAGGTGAGAGGAAGAAGGAAGGAAAAGGGTATAGTTATAAGGCGGGGTCGGTTAGCATGCTAACCCCCTTAGGGGTTGGAAAAATGACACCCCCTAGTATATTAAATACAACTATAGAATTTAATACACACATTAAATACACATTAGGAATTAAATGTACCATATTAATTAGGAATTCTCTCACTATTAAATACACATTAGGAATTAAATACACACATTAAATACACATTAGGAATTCTCTCACTATTTTTTATTTTTCCTTTTTCAGCAGTCTCCGACCACCAGACGTCCTCCGACCGCCACACTTCTCCGGTGAAAATCCCATCGGCAGACTCCCTCCGACCACTTCCAAAAAATATACCACTGCACTGATACGGTGTACCACTGTACTGGTAGATATACCACTGCACTGATAGGTTGTACCACTGTACTGGTAGATATACCACTGCACTGATAGGTTGTACCACTGTATTGGTAGATATACCACTGCACTGGTAGCGATATCAGTGCACTGGTAGCAATGTCATATCTGAGTATCAGTGCAGTGGTACAAATACCAGTAAAGTGGTAATTAATGTAGTGTATTTAATGCTTACTTTGTATTTAATAACAGAACATTTATTTTGTTTACTTTCATTAATACTAGTCAATAATTAATAAAAAATTGACCAATTAAAAGGAGGGTGTCAAAAAACCAACCCCTTAAGGGGTTAGCATGCTAACCCGTCCCTTATAAGGCTGAGTCTAATGCGGTCGTCAAAAATGTGTTTCTCGGCATTTATGACGATAATTGTCATTTAATTCCCTATTTATGGCGAATCACCACCTTCTTTTTTGTTTAATTAGGGTTAGGCCTTTAATTAAAAAATTAATAACTGTTGTACTTAATATTTTTTTTAATTTCATTTTTTCCTAGTCTCATAAATTAAAAGTATGTTAATTTTTTGCCAAAAAAATCGGTCACGGAATTTGAAAAAAATTCTATCGGAAATTTGTATTTCAAAATGATGACAAACTATAAAAAATAAACATGAACAAATTAGATTAAGATGATCATAAGTATATTTTTTAAGTAAAGAAAATTTTTTAAAAATGTAAATCTCCATATTTGGAGATAGTAGCATTGGAGCAAAAAATCATCAAAATGAGGATAATCCCCAAAATTTGGGATTAACATTAGAATTGGTCTAATATACCTTTATAGTAAGTGTTAGTACCCTATCCGTTCCCAAGTATCTGTAAAGCTATTTCTATTTCTATTTTATAGTAATAAATAAAATGTTTATTTTTATACTTCACACTAGCTCGATGACCAGAGATGCTCGGGAGATATTGGAAATGGTCACCGGACAGTAGCCGGTGACGAGCACAAAGAGCGAGGGCAAGGGATGAGTGGGAGACACAAGTTGAGCAGGGACAAAGAGTTCTCAAAACCGTGTGCATTGCTCTTACTCAGCACTGACACCTCTAAAACTAGAACTATATGCATATCTTATGATCTCTATCCCCCTAAAGATTGCACCAAACAAGTTAATACAATGGAATTTAGCGATGCACCTGGTAGCATGTCGATGTAGGACATGTATGTTTATTAGTCTGGCTGGTTGTAGCTGAAAGATATTTCCTGATATAGTGCGATATTGCTAACTATGGAATTTTATTATAACGTATGCGGTATGCCTAATGAATCACTTACATCTAACGGCGAGCCATGGTACGATCCTGTTCAAACTCAAGAGAAAAGCGAGCTAATAGTAAAACACATCTTAGGATCAAAAGATTGGACCAACAGTGTATTCAGTTCGCTTTTTAAACCAACCCATTGGACACCCATACCTACATCAATGCCAAAGTGCAATTCCATTGTCTAGTTAATCTTCTTTTGCAAACACAGTGAAGAGTATCTACGAAGGAAATGAAAGAGACGAACTGTACAAAGGTATAAAGGATAATTGATAGCGACTCCTGGAAAGCTATTTATCTTTCTAAGGGTGGTACGCCATTAACTCATCTTTTCTTTGCAGATGACCTTGTCCTGTTTGCAGAGGCAGATGATGGATAGGGAGCGGCTATCCTAGATTGTATAAACCGTTTTTGTGCGGCTTTTGGACAACAAAGCAACAAAGAGAATTCATGTATCTATTTCTCCAAGAATACCAAAGATAGGACCAAGAACTACATAAGCAATCAGTTGGGCATCAAGCCAACCATCAACTTGGGAAGATACCTCGGAGTCCCCGTCATTCACGGCCATGTGACTTAAAACACCTACAAGTTCATTATTGCAAAACTTGACCAGAAACTGTCCAGGTGGAAGGCCATGAATCTTTCTCTTGCAAGATAGGTGACTCTAGCTCTGTCTGTCCTGAATGCTTTACCAAATTATGTCATGCAGACAATAGTGTTTCCAGTCTAAGTTTGCGATATTATTGACGAGAAATTCGAGCTTTTATATGGGCAACTGAATCAGGGAAGCCTAAAGCCCTCCTTGTACCTTGGGAGACAATTTGTAAACCAAAGGAGGAAGGGGGACTTGGGTTGAGATCCGCCAGAGCTCTTAACTTTGTGTTATGAGGACAATCCGACTATCCAAGCACCACATTGGAAATACAAAGGAAGGAACCCTTGTATATTAGTGTCCACCAAGAGCATTACTATGAGGCCTTTTAGGGAGACACCCATAAGTAAAATTGGCGACCTTGGCCCAAAGCGGACAATATCATACTAATTGAGCTGCTCGGTTATGACACTTTGCTTATCTTATGAAGCTTGGATGGTTGTTTCTTAATAATGCTATTGAGCTCTGGGTCAAAGTGTTACAGGGAAAGTACTTCCATGTAAACAAGATGGCGGAGTGACGAGGAAACAAAGCATGCAATCGTGATTGTGGAAGAGGGTCATGGAGGCTTGGCTTGCGATGAAGCAAGGAGTAGTGTTTGACCTTAGGGGTGGCAGGAAAATTGAATTTGGAATAGTCCATTGCTATCCAATGATATTATCCTTGAAGATCACATTGTTGGCTCTGGCAAGGACATTGATTAGGGAGCGTCAGTTGCTAACCTCACAACCAATGAGGGTGAGTGGCGCTTTAGAATGTTTGAACCTCACCTCCCTCACAATTATGTTTGTCTTATTGCAGGGGTAGACCCACATCGAGAGGAGCTCGGCGAGGACGTGATCGTGTGGGAATTGGAAGCTGATGGAAAATTCCGCCTCCGTTCAGCTTACCGAGCTACTACTGAATGACTCCAGGACGATGAAGCAGAGGCGAGCAGCGTAGAGAAACCAGAGTGGCGAAGTATTTGAAGATGGAAAGGGCCCAACCGTACTAAACATTTTCTTTGGCTGTCATTCTACAACAGGCTCATGACAAATTATGAGAGGAAGCGCATAAAAATCACGACAAGCGACACCTGCGAGCTGTGTAAAAGTGCTCCAGAGTCCACATAACACTTGCTTCGACATTGCCATAAGGCACAACTGGTATGATGCCAGCTTGGCACCCAGGAAAACTCCCATACTGTGGCTTTTCCCTTCGCAGAGTAGATGGCAGCTAGGGGTGGGCATTCAGTTTGTTTAGTTTCGATCGAACCGAAATTATGCATACCCGGTCACCAAATTTCAACAAACCTCAAACCAAATTCGAACCGAATTATAATTTGGTTCGGTCGGTTTAAACAAAATTATATTTTGGTTCAGTTCAGAATTTCACACAAAATTGAATTTTTGAGAATACTTGTATCTTCTCCATTTTAAATTATTTTTCATCCCTAATGTAAATAATAAATATGCAATTATATGCATTATCAATGATAAAATCAAACATTTCGACACATAAGTCATAAAACACTAACATGATTCAAATATTTAAGTATCAAAACAAGTACAAACATAAATATTCACCATTTGGAGCTTGCAATTATAGTTATTTGGTTTTCACCCTAGTTTCCGAAATATCCATATATCCCTTCCGAATTTCGAACCGAATAGCATTATTTTGAATTCTGTTCTGTTTAATTTGGTTTCAATTCGGTTTGGGTTTACCGAACCGGTAGCCAACCCCTAATGGCAACTCATCTAAAGTCTGCAAGTTTCAGGCTGCTGATGAGGGTGGCGATGTGGTACTTATGGAAGCGGAGAAACGAGGAGATATTCTAGAAGAATTAGGTAGACAAAAGTGGAGGATCAGAAGCTGGACGAGGACCAATCAGCAGGACCCAAGGAACTGATCAACTAAACACTGCGGCTCAACTACATTGGAGTCCCCCGCCCGTCGGATGGGTCTACATTAACACAAATGGATCTGTCCAACAACCTAGGTCATGGGCTGCAACAGGAGGGCTTATTAGAGACGAGTATGAGAGATGCACTAGAGATTTTACACAAATATGGGAGTCTATACAATTACGAGAACATAGCTAAGGGGGTCGATATACGACTTCAAATTGGCATGGGAGCAAGGGCATAGAAAAGTTCATCTTAAACTTGATTCCACGACGGGTATCAAAATATTTACTTCCACAGATAATAAGGACCAAAGATATTACATTGCCAGAGAATTTCAGAGACTCGCACATCAAAATTGGGAGGTTCAAATCTCACATACTTTCATCGAATGCAACAAACTTGTTGACTTCCTCGCTAATAGGGGACACTGAGTCGGATTAGAGTATCATATTTATAATGTTTCGGATCCCGACTTTCGTTTTGGGTCTTGAATGATACTTTGATTATTGCCCAATATCGTTTAATTTAAGTATCAGACAAGGACACCCTTATAGCATCCCGTTTTCTTAAAAAAAGTAAGTTTCAAACATTTCGTTTTGGGTCATGTTTGAAACTTTCATACCATTTCCAGGACAATTTATGCATCTTAATTGCTCAATGGTAATTCAATACAATGTCCATTTATCTCACTTTTCAAGCTGGGTTATGAAAGGGTTTCTTTTATTAATTGATATATAATCTAACATAATATGCTCCATTCTTCACAAGAAATCAAACAAGAAGAGAAACAGTGGGAAAAGAAGAAAACAAAGGAAGCCCCTTCTACCCTCCCATACATATCACACCACCCTTATGTACAATTCATGTACACATTCTGTATATAAACAACATTCATCCATCAATAAATTTTATGTATACTCACTCTTTCCATCCTTTCTCACAGCTTGCAAGATATCTGCGGCAAAAACTCCACACCATAAGGACTCAGGACAAACTCAAAAGGCATAAATCTTCCATTCAGATCGTAGCTAATTTGACTAAACAACTTACTTACAATGATTCAAGGAATGAGTGTTTTTTCACAGAACCTTCTGTCCCAGATCACTGACGATGGTCATTTTAGAACGATGCGCTAATGGTAACGTCTTGTCTATGAGCATTTCTATCAGACTTCAAGATAGGCGCGTGAGGGGTGTTTACCTCCGATTTCGAGGAGGGTGGTGTCATTGGTCCGCTTCTGTCTGATTTTGAGGAGAGAAAGATGATTTCGCTTTGGGTGTTTACCTCCGATTTTGAGGAGGGTGGCATCATTGCTTCACTTTCATCTGATTTTGAGGAGGGCAAGATGATTTCACTCTGTGCATTTGCCTCCGGTTTTGAGGAGGGTGGTGTCATTGGCCCGCTTCTGTCTGATGTTGAGGAGGCTAAGACGATCTCGCTTCTTGCCTTTCCGTTCATGTGCTCAGTGCTTTGGGCAGCTAGGTACTCGAGGGCGACCACTATATCGCCAATCAGAGGGCGTAAATGTGCCTCCTCGTGGAGGCACATTCCAGCTATGGCAATGGCATAGTTCAGACACCGACGAGGGTAGCGGCCTTGTAGTCGAGGGTCAACCATTTGACAGAATTTCTTCTGGTCCTTCAGATAGGGGCGAGACTGCAAACATTATAAGGGAGACAAAATAGCATTTCATTACCATAGTCCATATATAGAAGCTTCCTAGTTATTTTAGAAGGAAAAACGTGAGACTTCTTCAAGTCACTCACCCACACAACGAGGTTCTGCTCCCCTTGCCTTCTGCTATAATCCATTGCCTTACGTCCAGAGATGAGCTCCAAAAGCACCACGCCAAAGCTATAGATGTCTGATTTAAGAGTCAATTTCCCACTCATGGCATACTCAGGGGCACAGTATCCGTACGTTCCCATGACTCGAGTCGATACGTGAGTGTTGTCGCCAACTGGTCCCAGTTTTGCAAGCCCGAAATCAGATAGCTTGGCGTGAAAGTCCTTGTCCAGCAAGATGTTTGCAGATTTTAGGTCACGGTAGATCACTGGTGGATTTGCTTTGCAGTGAAGGTACTCTAGGCCTCTAGCTGCATTGACTGCAATTTTCATCCGTGTGCTCCAACTCAGTGGCTCTTTGCCAGTGTCTACATCTGGGATTCAAAAACAAACACCACCATATAAGGAAATCAAGTTGAATGCTTTAATTTTACTCGATGAACTTGTAAGGAAATTAGTTGAACTGTGAATACATATCCCATTTCAAAATCCAAGCTCCAACCTTTTAGAATTTGAAATCCAAACCTTCCAAAAGACCACCTTGGACTAAATGTTCAACATTTTATCCACTTAAATCACTCCTCTAAGGAGACAAATATGTCTGTGTCTAGATTCTACTTCAAAGAATTGGATGAACACAATACTATTAAGGTTCAAGTGAACACGGTCAAATATTGCATAAACAAGAATTGGGCTCAGAAGACAGAAATGCCATACCAAAAAGATGACGTTCCAAGCTGCCTCTAGGCATGTACTCGTAGACCAACAATCTCTGGTCTCCAGCAGTACAGTAGCCCGTCAAGGTAACGAGATTAGGATGGTGTAGTAAGCTCAACATCAAAACCTCAACAATGAATTCCTGATTCCCCTGCATTCCATCCTGGTTCAGCTGCTTCACCGCAACAATCTGCCACATTAAGATTACAAATGAAAAGAAGCAATCAGGCAAAATGAAAATTTCCCAAAATATAATCATATGCGGGGGTTAAGAAACCATCTACCCAACAATCCTCTATGTATCACAATGAGCACTAAAATCGGAGCTGCAACAAATAAAGCACCAAAATCGTAATGACCTTGATTTATTCGGACAAGTTTCGAGCTTTAAGTGTCTCTATACCAGGATTAATGCACAATGTGATAGATACAGACGAGTATGGTGACAACTTTGATGTTTGGAAAGAAAGTATAATACCTCGCCTGTATCCAGGCGACCTTTGTAAACCCGGCCAAAGCCTCCTTCTCCGATCAAATTCAACTCCATGAAATTCTGGGTAGCATTGGCCAGCTCCCGGAACGAGAAACTCCGTGCCCCATTCTCCTTCGGCAGCTTCTCTTCCAGTTCTTTTCTCCTCTTCCCGCTACCTACGTTACCACACATGAAAAAAAAAACGAAAAGAAGATGCCAATCAAAATCAATACAAAGACTCGAAAAGATGACAACATTCATATTTCAAGATTCGAACCAGAGTGATCGGAGGAGTTACTGCGGTAATTGGAAGACCCAGGGGCCTTCTCAATGTCGATCTTAACCCCCTTTCGGCGATTAATGCAAGAGAAGCAACTCATCTGTTTCTTCCTTTCCTTTTTCTCCACAAAAAAAAAAAAACCCCAGGAACCGGCGAGACGGAAGAAAATGGGGCGGCGGCGAGGGGAAACCCTCTTTTCCGCCTTTTCTATCCGAAGAACCAGATAGAAGAGGACAAAACAAAGTGCAGGCCGGGGGGAAGAGACGAAAGACTATAAGCCTAAGCTCTTAGGCCATTGCAAAATGCCATTGGCGTATTTTTGGGTGGAGGAGAAGATGGAAATCGGTTTGGAATTTCCCCACACCCAATAACTGCGCCCCGCCCTCCCTCCCGCTAAACAGTTGCAGAGATAAGGAAAACTGAAGATCCCCCCAGACAATTCGTTTTCCTCTTCTTTCAGATTGCAGGGTTATTGTTGTTGTCTCGATCCGCCATTGCTAAATTTAGGAAGCAAAATGGGAGAGAGAGAAGGAGAAGTGAGAAATGGAGGAATGTGTTGATTTCTGAAGGAGAAGAAGGGGAAAATAAATTTATTATTAAATGAAAAAGGGAATTTAGGAATTATTAAAAAAGTGGGAAACCAGAATTAAGTGGCAGATTTAGCGGCAAACGGAGTAACGGTGAGATTAATGACGGTGTAATGATAGACACATGATTTTTTTTTTCTGTTTCCTTTTTTATCTGTGGTGAAAATATCAGTATGGTCCCTTAACTTTATTGGTTTGACCATTCCACTCAAATATATATAAAGTCGGGAAAATGGCCTGGTCTAGTAAAAAATTATTCGTATGTACAATCTACCGACTAAAAAATAGGGCGAAAATAAAAACAGTGGATAAGAAAATATACTATATTAGATCATGACTAGAAAGTCAATAGTTTGTTTGTTACAATATCAACAAATTGAGAAACTATACCGAATTGTTCCGACGAATGCATTCTAACTAATGTCAAGCATCAATGTGATTTTTATAATTGTCTAGTTTGTCGTCGTTTTGTGGCAATTTAGCAAGTTCAGTATTAAAATTTCTTACACTGGTCTTCCTTCTCCTTGGACTTGTTTAGCTTGAGGGTCGGAGGCTGCTAACAAAGTACTATTGCTAGCCTTCGAGACGAGATAAAGTTTGTCAGATAACATGTCGAGAGAGATCCATCGGGAAGAGGGAGGAGAGTCGGAGAGGAGATTAGGGAGGGTCAGCTAGGTGTCTAAGTCTCATGGATTGGTCATATTTTCATGGTTTTCAGCAGATCGGACGTTAAAACTAAATAAGGCTTATTACTATCATGGACAAGATTATACCAATCCTAATATGCTCTGTGTTTTGCTCCATATACTTTGGTTCGACCTAGTTTGAGATTATTTGTTTGTTCGATCTGATTCACTTTTTCACTATGAGAGACAGAATTCATGTACTAGAATAATTAGTATCTAAGAACCAAGGACCTTAATCGATTTTTCTTCTATTCTTGCACTATGTTGATTACAGTAATAACATGGGGATGGGGGAGTAGGTTGTGTGTTGGAGATTTGGATGATTGCTTGGCATATGCTAGTCAAAGAGTGTGTTTGTTTGGGTGTGGTATCAATGCAAGTGGTTGTAGCCATCCATGGCGCAAACAAACACGACCTTTTTGGATTTTGCCATTTTTCCTCCATTCCCATTATTAAGTCCTCCGAATATAAATTTTGGATTGGTTTGGATGGACTGGTAAGTTGTAACTAACTAACCCATTGGGTTTTTAACTACTAAGCTTCCTCTCTTTCAAATAAGCGTTAAACTAAGAAAATAATTAACCGCGTGTGAGTGTGTGTCTGCTCATTGTTTGATATCAAATTTGGAAAAACGCGTCACGGCGTCGGAGATTACTAGTAAGACAGCCGACAATCAATAAGTGAGCTAAGACTAGAAAGATAACTGTATGATTAATATCCAATTCAGGCATAGTTACCCGTTTCATATATGATTATCGGATTAATAATTAATTGGTTTATCTTATCGTATATGATTATCTCATTATTTGATTTATCGGATGAATTGATTTATTTTATCGTATATAATTATCGAATTACTTGGTTTATGTTATGGTATTATAATTCATTTAATGGTAAGATTTCGTGTTGAGGTTTTCATGATTTTTTTGAGAAGTCGTATAGGATCGCAATATTGCAATCCGTTTCTCAAGATTGGGGCGGATTTTCTGGTAAATTTATGGTTTCTCCGACCACCAGGGTTTCATGATCCAATGATGGAGTAGTGGCGTTACGGTTTTCGGGAGCTGCAATCTGTCCGCCGTTGCTTGGGTTTCCCCTTCAGAGAGTAGGGGTGGGCAATAAGTTGGTCCATACCGAACCACATCGGACCAAACCGATGTTTGGACCGGACCACACTTAATTGAATATAATATGGTTCATTCCTTGGTCTAATTAATTTTATTAAAACTAAAGAAAAATGGATCGAATTGATATTTAGACCGAATCAAAGTGGATCGGATGCATTATTGGTCTGATACTTAGTCCTAATATACCTTTCACTATTGAACCTCGGTTCTCCTGAATTTGGTTCGATCTTGTCCGGACCATACTGATGCCCACCCCTGGGCAGAACATAGCACTTTGTTTAGTGTTTCTGCACAATATATAAAAGCAAAATGGGAAAACTGAGTTCTCCATTTCAAATTTCCTGTTCCGGGAGCGTTTGTCGGAGGGGTAGTATGGGCAATGTTATTTTTTCTCTTTCGTCATCTGCACGGGCCAAAATGACCTTATCAATTCAATCGGGGCCAACTGGCCAGCAATGCATTTAGCTTGGACCGTCACCTCGCAAAGCTCATCGCCGTGCTCCGACGAGTGCCCATCTCCTCTGCACCAACCCCACTCCGTTATACCGCAGGGGAATGACGAGTGCACTGGACTTGCCTTTCATTTAGTCTGAAAGGACCGATGCCTCGTTAAAGCTACACGTTGTGAATCCGACCAGTCTTCATCTCCTTCACACCAGGTCAAGAAGAAACTACTATATCGTCCACAACAGTCTCCTTGCCTGCCATAGATCGATTCCACTACTTGGATTTTCAAACAGTTGTCTCCCTCATGCAAAAGAAGCCAGAGGATTGATTACTGTCGCTGATTGATTGATCTCCGGTTCACTTAGAGCAACCCCGCCGCCTATAGCAGCTTTTTACACTGTAAAACTTTGAATAACGAAATAACACAATACACGATTTAACGTGGTATCCCCGACGAATCGGGACTAATCCACGGGAGAGCTTTTGAATCTCTCCGGCTACTAATATTATTGATATAAGGGTTTTTAACTTGCATACAAGCAAGGTCTCGGCTGCCCATTTATACTAGTAACTAGGGCTGCCTTAGGGTTACAACTCATCACACATAAGGGAATCTCCTTGGACGTGGGAAAGACATGAGCTGCATGGGCACTCGGGCTGCTGAGCTTCTCGTCAGTACTAGGCTCAGCATCATCAACGTCATCAACGTGGGCCTGGCCAAATACTTCCCCGCAAGCAGGAGCGTGAAGATCCCCAACGTGCAGCTTGGACAAGAGAAATCGAAAACGATCAGCACCGAGACCTTTGGTGAGAAGATCCGCCAGTTGAAGAGTAGAAGAAACCTTGACAGGAAGAATATGGCCCGACTGAACTCGCTCACGAACAAAGTGACAGTCCATTTCCACATGTTTAGTGCGCTCATGAAAGACCGATTATTGGCAATATGAAGGGCCGCCTGGTTATCACAATGGAGAGGAGTCGGACCAGACTGAGGTACACCAAGTTCCTGGAGCAACCAACGAAGCCATATGATCTCCCTGACAGTACTGGCCATAGCCCTGTATTCTGCTTCGGCCGAGGATCGTGCGACAACTCGTTGCTTCTTGGTTCGCCAAGAAATGGGAGCACTGCCAAGTGTGATGAAATAGCCAGTCGTGGAGCGACGCGTACGCTGGGAACCACCCCAATCGGCATCACAATAAGCAGTGAGACGAAGGGTAGCATCAATAGGAAAGAAAAGACCCTGACCAGGAGAGCCTTTAATATAACGCAACACCCGAAAAGCAGCATCTAAATGCATCTGACTGGGTGCGTGAACAAACTGGCTGAGGATATTAATAGCATAAGTGATGTCAGGACGCGTGATGGTCAGGTACAAGAGAAGACCAACCAAATGTCTGTATAGAGAGGGGTCTGGTAACACATCATCAGTGGATTTTGTCAACTGATGATTCTGCTCAACTGGGAAGGAACTAGGCCGGGACCCCTGAACACCCGTGTCTTCTAGGATGTCGAGAGCATACTTCCGCTGGTGGAGGACGAAACCAGTGGATAAGCGAGCAATCTCAATACCCAAGAAGTAGCGAAGAGGGCCGAGATCCTTGATGCTAAAACGAGCATCAAGAAACTGTTTAACACGATCAATGAATGGTAAATCATTTCCGGCCAGAAGTACATCATCCACATAGATGAGAGCTGTGACAAAAGTGCTCCGCCGCTGGTAGATAAACAAAGACGCATCAGCTGGAGAAGACCGAAAACCAAAATCGAGCATTTCCAAGGTGAATTTCTGATACCAATTGCGAGAAGCCTGTTTCAAACCATAGATGGACTTGCGTAGCCTACAGACTCGGTTATCACCAGGTGCTCGAAACCCTTGAGGAATAGTCATGTAAACCTCCTCCTCAAGCTCACCATGGAGGAAGGCGTTGTTAACATCCAATTGATGAAGATGCCAACCACGATTAACTACAACTGCGATGAGACAACGAACGATAACCAATTTTGCAACCGGGGCAAATGTATCATGGAAATCAAGGCCTTCAATCTGGGTATAACCCTTGGCTACCAGTCGCGCCTTGAATCGCTCAATACTGCCATCAGGGTAGAATTTGATTTTAAAAACCCATTTTGACGAGATGGCTCGTTTTCCAGGAGGGAGTTCCACGAGATTCCAAGTACTGTTTTGCACGAGGGCCTGGATCTCTTTTCCCATCGCAGCCCGCCATCGAGGGTCGCGGAATGCTTGTTGAAACGTGGCCGGCTCCTCAATCCCGGTTAGCGCTGCAAGAAAAGCAAAATAGGTTGGTTTAAAACCATCATAAGAAACGTAGGAGGAAAGAGGGTATCGAACTGAATGGGAAGCACTTCCCTTGTGGTCATCAAGCGTGATGTAATTATCTAGGTATTTGGGCCTCACGCGCACACGGTCACCTCGTCGAAGATGCGGAGGCGAAGGTGTGGGATCGGCTTCAGCAGGAGAAGGAGGGGCAACCGAGTGGTTGCGGGCAGTGACTGGTGAAGTGCTTGAGCTGGGAGACACAGACTCGGCACTAGGGGAGAATGTGGTAGACTCGATAGTCGGCGAGGGACGAATTTCATCTTCGGACGTGAGGACATGTGGGTCCGAGAAAGATGCTTCGTCATCAGGTGCAGAAAACACAGGCCGAGGCACCCAATGAAACTCTCGTTGCATGCCATGATGAAAGGGAAAAGAACTCTCGTGGAATTGAACACCATGAGATGTTAGAACCTTGCGTGAGACCAAATCATAGACTAGAAATCCCTTATTGGTAGGGGCATAGCCAAGAAAAACTTCGGCTCTTCCTCGTTCACCAAACTTGTCTAGGTGGTCATGAGTGTCCTTATAATAAATCAAACAACCGAAAAAACGCAGATGACGATAAGTAGCTGGCTTACCAAAGAGGATCTCAAAAGGTGACTTGCCAGTAGCAGTGGCCGGCATGCGATTAAGGAGATAAACAGCTGTAAGAATGCATTCGCTCTTAAACCGGAGTGGAAGATTGGCCTGAAAACGGAGGGCGCGAGCGGTATCCAGGATATGATGATGTTTGCGCTCAACCACACCATTCTGCTGTGGTGTGTCGGTGCAAGAAGTCTGAAGTAAAATACCCTCGCGAGAATAATAAGAACGTAGTGGTTCATTATTAAACTCATAGCCGTTGTCAGCCTGGATGCGTTTAACAGTTTTCCCAAACTGTGTCTTCACCATTTGTAAAAACTGTAAGAGATACTGAGCCACATCGGATTTGAACCGTAGCAGATATACCCAAATACTGCGAGTGAAATCATCTACAATAGTTAAGAAAAAATGGGCACCAATGAGAGAAGCAATCCTGTAACCACCCCAGAGATCAATGTGAATGAGATCAAAACTAGAAGACGTCTTAATCGTACTTGTCTCAAAAGAAAGTCTAGACTGCTTAGCACGTGAACATGAATGACACGACTGATTATTATGACCAAAAGACAAAGATAAAATCCAACCAATACGTTGGCAATGTGTACAACGATGGCGTTCCCTCTCCCCCGAGCTGCAATCACCGCTTCCATGGCTGGGTTTCTCAGACTCTCCTTGTGCGGCAAACGCGGCAGCTTCAGGTTGGTATTTTCGATTTTGTGAGATAAGTTTGTGTTGTTCAGCATGGAGAATAATATTGAAAGCCTCCCCAAGATTGGGAATTGGCTTCGTAGCCAAGACCCGGGTACGAACGGCACCAAACACGTCCTCGAGGCCCATAAGAAAGTCAAAGAGTCTAGCTATCTCTTGCTGTTCACGTACTCGGCGGGACACATCAGAAGTAAAATGACCACACGTACAACTTGGAGTTGGCGAGATGGCCGCAGCTTCTTCCCAAAATGATTTCAAACTCGTGTAAAAGGAGGAAACATATTTCTTTTCTTGTTGGAGTAGTGAAATCAGGCGTCTTAATTCATATGCATGAGAGTAGCTACTTTGCCCAAACCTATCACGCAGATCAACCCAAATCTCACGGGCATGGGCAGCAAATCGAATACTACTTCGTGGGCTTGATGATTGAACCATCGATGAAACCATACTTGTTCATGGCAAGAAGGGCATCCTTCATGTCCAAAACCCATTCACCTTAATTGTTTGCGGTGAGAACATCCCCGACCAGCATGTTTCCTGGGCCGTCGGATTGGTGAAGTTGATAGAACGGCGGTAAATCATCGAAGGCCTTCCCTTTCCCTTGCGGCGTCGTGATGGAAGACTCTTCGTCGGAGGCCATAGCGACACGAAGATGAACACCTGGAGCTTATCGCTCTGATACCATGTAAAACTTTGAATAACGAAATAACACAAGACACGATTTAACGTGGTATCCCCGACGAATCGGGACTAATCCACGGGAGAGCTTTTGAATCTCTCCGGCTACTGATATTATTGATATAAGGGTTTTTAACTTGCATACAAGCAAGCTCTCGGCTGCCCATTTATACTAGTAACTAGGGCTGCCTAAGGGTTACAACTCATCACACATAAGGGAATCTCCTTGGACGTGGGAAAGACATGAGCTGCATGGGCACTCGGGCTGCTGAGCTTCTCGACAGTACTAGGCTCAGCGTCATCAACGTCATCAACGTGGGCCTGGCCCAATATACACTGATTCCGATTGTTCAAAGTGCACTCTCCAAAGGTAAAGTTTTCTTGCCGCCGTCTCCTATGTCGCTTGTGTAAGTTCTTATTGGATAGGCCTCTTCTTATGGAATTCACCTCACCATTGATTATGCTCTATTGTTTGATCTATGAATTGAAGAAGTTATATAGGATTGTGTTAAAGTTTTACCTTTACCTTCCGCTACACATTTAAGGCTTTCTTAACTAGCTATTCTTGGCTTATACTCATTGGTATTCTATTCACAATGTTGTCGTGAGTTGATAAAGTCGTCATTTGAGCGGAGTCTTCAAGAATTCAGACTCATAATTTTGTAATCTCTCAAGTACTGCAAGTTGAGTCTCGGTACAATTGTCCCTTAGTTCATAGGTTTTCACTCTTCCTCCTCTTTTATTATGATTAGTATGATATTCGAATTAGAGAATTCTGTCCCAATAGCCTACCTTAGCTCATTACGATTCTATCTCTTGGAAATGTCGTGGTAGAGTGTGGTTGTGTAACTGTGTGTTCTGATAGAGATATAATTTAATTAATTAGAACTTACACTAGGAACCATACCTTTCTACAGAATACAATGCCCCTATTATTATCACACCATCACCATTATTTCCACCCCATCACTACTCTGCCATTGCCAGCTATCTCATCTTTAGAGAACTCATGTGATAGCTTTTACTTGCCTCTATCTTCTCCCATCTACTGCCAACTACATGTAATCACCTATTTCAATTTACTGTCAAGTGTATGTATATATAGATAGCTAGCCTTCCTGTATCATTCAATAGCTAAATTCTATCAATATAAATCATATCACTCAATTCATATTTCTATATGGTATCAGAGCACAAAAGCAAGACTGCTCTGATCCCTTAACCTAGCCGCCAAACTCCAAGCTACACCCTCCTCATTCTTTCTTGCTTCTTCTTCGACAAAAAAATAAAACTTAAAAAAAATAATCCAATATCACCAACCCAAATTAGCCGCTCCTTTCCCAAGCCGGCCGCACCTCATCCACGCCTTCTCCGCCAAATTAAGAGCTCAAAGCTAATTCCATTTTTACCCTCGGTTCTTTCTTTTTCTTAATCATCATGTCTGATTCCCCAATAGGCGACGACGGATCTATGGTACTCCCACTAGCCGGTGATGACAATCATGTCATCTCTCTAAATCCGGCTTCATAACTCTCAACAAAGTTAAACAGAAATAACTTTCCTCAGTGGCGTGCACAGCTGCTAACTCTTCTTCATGGTCTGGATTTGTTATCATTTGTTGACGGCACCAACACAACACCGACAGAAGGAGCTCATGGACGCGATCAGTGGTACCGTCAAAATCAATTGATCTTGCATGCTAAACTTTCCTCTGTCTTTGATGTGGTGGCTCCATATGTCCCGACGTCAATCATTGGTCGTCAAGCTTACTCCATCCTTGAGAGAATGTATGCAGGAACTTCTCAATCTCGGGTCATTGGTTTGAAGACAGATCTTGTTCAAGAAAGAAAAGGCAACCGTTCCGTCTTTGCTTTTCTCTAGGAGATGCGAACCATCTGCACAGAGCTAGCTCTCGTCTAGGAACCGGTTGCGGATGAAGATCTTGTTCTTAACATTTTACTAGGATTGAACTCAGATTTTGGCCCTCTTGCTGCTGCCCTTCGTGCTCGTGAGAACCCGATTGATGTCGAAGATCTCCATGATAGGTTGGTGGAGTTTGAATCTGACTTTGCTGCCACCCGCCCCTCTCCCGATGGCCTTTTCTATTCAACATGGACATGGTGGTGTGCAAGGACAAGCAGCGCGTGGCCGTGGAAATTCTCACTCCCACCATCTCTCTCCTCAATGATACTTTAAGCACCCCTAGCAGGCTGTCAATCGTCAGTTTTATCAGGAGCAATCACCCTCGTCCCTTCAACCGCTTCATAACCACCAACCACCTTCTCATGGCAATCTCATTAACTTTTCCGGTCATCAATAGAGTATTGGTCGTGGTGGACGAGTGAGGATCTTTCTTCAGTTCTGAGACAAACTCGGACACACTGCAAAGGAATGCTACAGTCTCGATGGACGCCCTCCGGCTCAAGCTTATCATACCTCTACTGCTCCCTCCAATTCTGGTTGGCTAATGGACTCCACAGCAACCAACAAAATCACCCTAGACCTTGGAAATCTTTCTCTTTACGCCAACTATAATGGCATAAATGAGGTTCTTGTCGGTGACGGATCATGTTTGCAAATAACACACATTGGAAACTCTATGCTTAGTGCTTCTACTACTTCTTTGCAATTAAAGGATGTTCTTTGTGTTCCTGCCATCAAGCAACATTTACTGTCCGTTGCTAAATTATGTAAAGCTAATCCAGTCTCAGTGGAGTTTTTCTCTGATTGTTTTGTTGTGAAGGACTTGTCCACGGGGGCGCAACTACTCTGAGGCCAGAATAAAGGGGATGTGTACGAGCTGTCGTCTGATGTAAATACCGTTCGCTTAGCACTTTCCACTACCACAACTTCATCGACTATCTGGCACAATCGACCGGGACATCCACATCCTAGGCTGCTCTCCTGTGTTTTGAGCTCTCAAGCTCTTCCTATTTCCAATAAATCCACTTCCTTTTCTTGTGATTCTTGTTTAGTGAACAAAACTCATAAGCTTCCATTTTCAGCGTCTAGTTTGATTAGTTCAAGACCCTTTGATTTGTTATACATGGATATTTAGGGCCCATCGCCCATTTTCTCCATTGATAATTTTTCATATTACTTGGTCATCGTTGATCACTTTTCCCGCTATACTTGGCTCTATCCTCTCAAATACAAGTATGATGATTTTGACACTTTATCACATTCACATGTTTGGTCGAAAACTATTTTCATACTTCTATTCGGCGTGTTTTTACTGATGGTGGGGGTGAATTTCATAAACTACTATCCTTTCTTCAAAAACGTGGTATATCTCATCTTTTTACTCCTCCTCACACCCCGGATCATAATGGTTTAGCAGAACGCAAACATCGTCATGTTGTTGAAACAAGTCTTACACTCATGGATTGTGCACATCTCCCCAATTCTTTCTGGTCTCATCCCTTTCAGTTAGTTCTGTATCTTATCAACCGCCTGCCTTCTACCTCTCTCCATAATTAGACACCATATTTCACTCTTTTTAATGAGTCTCCAAATTATTTTAAACTAAAGAGTTTTGGGTGTCTTTACTATCCGTGGCTCCATTCGTACAGTTCTCATAAGTTAGCCCCTCGTTCTCGCCCATGTATTTTTCTTGTCTACTCCATGAACCAGAGTGCATACAAATGTTATGATCCATTTGATTGCCGTGTCTTTGTTTCTCGACATGTTCTTATTTTTGAAACTACTTTTCCTGGTCTTCCCCCCAGTTTCGAATCATCCATGTCTTCATTAGAGTGGCTTGCCTCCACCACTCCGACTGTGCAGCTTGTCCCTCTTTCAATCTCCATGGCGCCTCAACCTCCCATAAATCCCACTACTCTGATAGTATCCTCTTCATCGACAACTTGTGGAACGGCTTCTTCACCTGCTCGTACACAAGTTACATCGCCATCCCCTTCTTCTTCCTCCAATAAGTCTGCCCCCGCCCCCCGCCCCCCCCCCCCCACGGTCAGCTCCTTCACGACCAATGCCAATGCCACCACCTTTACATGATGTACTCCCCCTCGCCCTCAACTTCGCCTCATTGAATGGCGACTGAAAGTCAATATGGTATTTTCAAGCCTAAACAAATGTTTACTACTCAAGAATCTTCTCTTGTTGAGCCTACCTCTATTAAGAAGGCTCTTGCATATCCTTATTGGCGTGCCACCATGCTACAGGAGCTGGCCTCCCACTCCTTTAATGACACTAGGTCCTTAGTTCCTCCCACTTCCACTAAGAACATTGTTAATTGGCTCTGGGTTTTTCGAATAAAGTACAAGGCGGATGGTATAATTGATCGGTACAAAGCTTGATTAGTAGTAAAGGGCTTCACTTAAAGTCCAGAAATTTACTTTCATGCTACTTATAGCCCAGTTCTTAAGCTTGTTACCGTTCGAACAATATTCCACATCGATCTCTCTCAACAATGGCCGATTCTCCAGTATTCCCAGTTCTTAATGCCTTTCTCCAAGGCTCTTTGAAGGAGGAAGTCTTCATGACTCAACCATCGGGCTTTTGCAACACCACGACCCCTGAATTTGAATGTCGTCTCCATCGTCCAATCTACTGACTTTGACAGGCTCCCCGCTCGTGGTATATATCATTGTGCGGTTTCCTTGAGAGTAAAGGCTTCGTCAAAACACAAAATGATGTGTCCTTGTTTGTCTATCATCATGCTGGAGCCTTGCTGTACTTTCTTATCTATGTTGACGATCTTCTTCTCACATGAAATGATTCTATGTTGCTCAATAAGTTTTAAGAGGATCTTGCCTCTTGATTCTCACTTAAACAACTAGGTGAGGTAAATTATTTTATGGGTATCGAATTATTACCCAATCCCTCTGGCTTTCTTCTATCCCAACAAAAGTGTATCTCCGATGTCCTCGATTAGTTTCAGATGGGTGATGCTAAGCCCTCTTCGACTCCGCTCTCGACATCGGCCACACTTATGCTTCACGAAGGCTCTCCTCCGGCCGATGCAATGCTTTATAGGAAATTACTCGGTGCACTTCAGTACTTACTTTGCACTCGTCCTGATATCACATTTTACGTCAACAAATTATCACAGTTCATGCATGCACCGTCCCAAATTCATTGGCAATCAGTCATCATCTCTTGCGGTATCTATAGGGTACTCGTAATCTTGGTTTACAACTTTGGCAGTCCTCTTCTCTTTCCCTTGAAGCATTTACCGGCTCTGATTGGGTCGACCCTTGAAGCAATTACTCGATATTCAGCCTTATTTATCTTGGCAGTAATCTTGTTTCCTGAAAGTCAAAGAAGCAATGTTTTGTTGTCCGCTATAGTACCAAGGCTGAATATCGAGCTCTCACCCATGCCTCCGTTGAAATTGAATGGTTTCATAACCTATTGATTGATCTCCATCATCGCCCTCCTAATCCTCCTGTCCTCTATAGTGATAATCTTGGTGCAGTGAACTTATCTACTAATCGAATTTTCC